AGTATCATACCAAATAATTCGCAAAAACAGCCAAAAAAAAAAACGCTGAAAATACAAGAAAACAAAGCAAGAGCAAAAAGGGGTGTGGCAGCGCAAGGGCATTTAAATACCCCAGACTTTTAAATCACGGAAAGGAGTGTATTACGCATCTGGCAACCGGGCGTCCAGGGTGCTTCACAGGCTCACGCATCCACACACTAAATTTGAAAAAAAATCGTAATATGTGACTTGTACCGACGACTCTTTACCTATAGCAGTGAACTGACCATGCCACTACGCACCCCCTAGGTGGTACACAATGTTTTTGAGAAAATTATAAACTATCACATTTAGTGTGTGTATATATAAATAAATAAATATATATATATTTTTTCTTCTTCTTCTTCAATGTCAGGTAATTTTATCTGGAAGGATCCAACAGATCTAAGTAATATTTCACTTTTAACCCCTTCTTGCTGGGTGGCATGTACGTACATGCCATGGCTATTGTGGACCAAGTAGCAGGTGGCTTCACGACCAATCCCCCACAATTGGCTCATCTGATGGAGCTTGATTTTCTCCATTATTAGTGGCATCATTTCTATTGAGAAACTTTTAGGCAATAGCACCTAAAGTGAAGGTAAACCATCACATTTATTTTATAATTTTTATTATTTTTTTTATCATTATTATTATTATTTAATGATATCAAAATATAACCTCTCGGGTGTATAATGTTGCTTGCAAACTGTCAATGTGTGCCAACAACCCTACATTAATAAAAGATTAAAAGATTTAGTTTTAATTCCATTTGTTACAATGGATATTCTTTGCTGTGACATACTGTCTGTTTTATTTTGCCCAAATCTCCCCCTGTGTGCAAGGAATGGCCGGGGATACCATTCACTGGCCAGGCGTGGGATTGAATGCAGGTCCGCAAGATTGCTAGACCAGCACCTTACCAAATTTTTAACCTGGGGTTAATGGGTTAAGTATTATAACTTAATATAAGCTATTAGCAAATATTATTTACATTTGTATTATTATGCAAAACTTCCACAATGTACACCCAACAACAAAAGTGATGTCGCCTTGCCATACCTGGATTGGAGAGAACTTGCCCTTCTTGCCCTGAAAGGTGGTCCATGTTCAAACAACCTGGACATGGTTAGGAGGGGGGGGGGGGTTAAATTCGCTAGGCAAAGCAAAGGGTGAGTGTTCGGCTGTTTCAGTCCCATCCTATTGAGGCTAGCATCTGCACCCCCCTCTCTCTATCTATCTCTAACTCTCTCTCTATCTATCTCTATCTCTCTCTCTCTCTCTCCCCCTCTCTCACACTCACACACACACACACACACACACACACACACACCACACACACACACACACACACACACACACACACACACACACACACACACACACACACTGTGTGTAATATTTGTGAATATGAATAATGTATCATCTCAAATAGCGCCCCTTGAGCTGCCAAACATTAATAAATGGCTTTGGCCATATTATATCAGTTTAAAGTTTGAGATACAAATTAATTTAAAGTGCATCGTCAGTCAACCTAATCTATTATTTTGTTTCCGAAACTGTTGGTGAAAATGAATGATGTAAAATGAAATGCAGTGAATGTGTGCAGCAGTGCATTAAAATAATGATGATGGCTTATATATGATGCAGGTGTTGCAAAACTTATACTACTAACACATCTTTTTGTGTTAAATTATTAGGTGACAATCTTTAGACCTGGGCAAACCCCTTTCCCAGCACACGCTTGCTCACTCACACCATGAAGGGCCGAGTCTAGTTTCACTCTACCCTAGGCTAAAGGGATATTCCCTCAGCCTTGACTATACACCTTTATTTGTCGTTTCAGCAGCTGGTGTCCATCACCTTGTTGGTGTTCCCCCTCCAAACTATTCAAGAAACCCATTACTTTTGATATCCGTCTTTTACACACTCATTTCGTTATTTTTGGTAATGAAATAATTGTAAACATTTGGAAGGTATAATGAGGTATGACCTAATGTCACGAGTATTATTCTATTTTCCAAATAACATATCAAAAGTTTACCATTATCTAAATAGCTGATCCAGGTGATATAAGATGGAGGAGTGTAAGAGAGTAGCTGCTTACGATAATGCAGAGCCATATATTAATATACATCCTTCATCCTTCATACATATATGTATGAAGGATATTTCTGTGTGACGAATATAAATATGAATAGTCAGTTCCAACAATGTTTAATGATTTTTTTATATATAGAAAATATGATAAATAATGTAATATGATTTCATGAAAATTATTTTCAAAATAATATATGATAACTTATTTCTCACGGCAGGTTTCCAATATTTCCATCGAATTAACAACTAAACAGGAATAAAAGTGATCCCTCTCTCTTTCTTCATATATATTTCAGTCATTGTTGCACTTCTTCGCCTGATTTCTGCAATTCCTCTCCTCCTCACATTCAAACCATCCTAACTATGCCCTGGTTGTTTGAACACAGGCCTCCTTTCAGGGCAAGAAGGGCATGATCTCTCTGAGCCAGGTCTGGCAAGGCATCACCGCTTTTGTTGCTGGCTGTATCATAAATAAATGCTACAATTTAGTATTGCCCCATTATAAGAAAATTTAGTATTGCCTCGGTATAAGACAAAATCCAAACTTCTGCTAATTCTTACATCTACATCCCATCTAAATACTAACAAGACTAATGGCAAAGGAATATCCATAAATATACAAGGACAAGAAATTCATGATTCTCAAGTTTAAAAAAAAATCATTACCAAATCCATAAACATTACACAAACTATATGGAGTACATATAAAAATGAGTACAACCCAATTTACAAAAAAATACAAATTGAAAAAGTGTCTACATGAATTTCTCTGGAAACAAAACTGCACTTGAATTTATTATCACCACTGAATTATCTACTATTGAAAATTACAAGAAAGTGGAAGTAAAGAAGAGTAATGTGAATCCCTAGACCCTTGTCCAAAAATACTTAACAAGATGCTAGTAACTTACCTTCGAAATATTTTGGTAACTGCTGCAACAGAGTCTTCTTGCTTTAAAGCCCCAATTTTGAAGATGCATGTGAGGAACATAAGGAAGGCCAGTTCATGTCCTGTCCCATAATCAATGCGTGTTGAGTTTCCCACACTCTCTACAAGATATACACCAATTTCTGGGACTGCAGAATGGAATTCTTCTGGAAGTGCAGATTGTACAACTTCTTCTCCTTTCTGAACAATGGTCCAATATTGAAAATGGATGAGAAATTACATCTATACAGGTGCTATAAAGCAAGAACACATTCAATTTACCTTTTTAAATCCTTCACTGAACTTATATTTCTTGTGTATACACTTCAGACATGCAATGGTGCACAAGGCTTCAAAAAATAGTAATTAATAGTTAAGCCTTCATTAAATCACATAGAAAACATTACCTCTTTCAGCCTGGCATAAAAATCGCGAAAGGCTTTATTGCCATAACGCTGTGGTTGGTCAACTGCAGGGATCTCATCTATCCACTGACTGAGGGTATCCAACATCTTTAGGATTCCCGTAACAACATCATTTGTCTTGCATTCCACACTTAGCTTCTTCCCTTTTACAGCATCATTCATTGATATCAGGAATCCTAAGATGTCCTAAATCAACAAGAATACTGATTAGAAAATACTAAGGAATTAATTAGTATCTCTTGAATAATGATATAAAAGTGTATAATTTACAAATCTAAGCAAGTATAACTTACAAATCTAAAAGTATTGTTAGTCTGTTACATATATGTTTCAGTCATCAATATACTTTTTCATACACAGAGGAATTTTATTTTTCTCTACATTTTTCTTATGAACAGATGAAGTGCTCAAATAAAGAAATGATGTAAGTTTACCAAACAGGCACTTTATTTTCTTTGTATATGCAATTAAATTTAGCTCAATAAAATCTTCACCATAATTTTATCACTCTAGCCACTCTAAGGTCATCCAAGTCTAACTTTTTACAACCACTTCCATTACCTGGTAAGCTTCTGATAGCTCCCATTTCTTAACATCCTGAGCCACCAACACTGCACGCTGTGGTTTCTCAAACTTGTGACTTTCTGTTAAGGGGAACAATAAATATTCATTATTGACAAACATAATTTGTCAACACAAAATATGCCAGACCTTTTCTTAGACCTAGGTTTTGTGTGTGTGTGTGTGTGTGTGTGTGTGTGTGTGTGTGTGTGTGTGTGTGTGTGTGTGTGTGTGTGTGTGTGTGTGTGTGTGTGTGTGTGTATGTGTGTGTGTGTGTGTGTATGCGCGCGCGCGTGTGTATGTGTGTGTGTGTGTGTGTGTGTGTGTGTGTGTGTGTGTGTGTGTGTGTGTGTGTGTGTGTGTGTGTGTGTGTGTGTGTGTGTGTGTGTGTGTGTGTATGTGCGTGTGTGTGTGTGTGTGTAAAAGAAAACTATATCAATTCATGTTCTATAAGCTTTAATCTTAATCCAAGTTGTGAAGATTTCAGTTTCAAGGCAAGGTGAGTTAGGCCTATTTAATGATTCAATTGTATAATCTCCTTCAGATATAAGAAAAAATATTCTGATGCCTATCATAAATTTGAAAAAAGAGATATGTAACAGTGAGGTTGGTGTAATAAATCTGCCATAAATTTTAATATAATGCAAAACCTTTTGTCACTGCTGCATTGTCAACTGAACAGCTAACATAGGGGATAATTTACCCATAGTGTGCCTTAAAAAAAAAAAAAAAAAAAAAAAAAAAAAAAAAAAAAAAAAAAAAAAAAAAAACACTCCTTTCGGTTACTAAAACTATAGTGGGTAGATACTATTTCAGGTTCATAAATTAAATCAGAAAACAATAACTTGTACAATTTATACCCGCACAGGTTAATACATCCGGAAGTACATTCTACATAAATAAGGACACTATAACAAAGTAAAAAACTACACTCACTGACATATGAAATAATCTGCATCATCAAAAAATAACATCAGAAATTGATAAAATAGATTGTGACTAATGCCAGGTGCAGAATAAGCCAACAGTAATTGGGTGGGGGTCTGGGGAAATGTGGTGATCAGATGGGGGATTGGGGGCATAGGTTTTTGGTATATACAACAATGTTTGTGGATTTACCATGAGTGGCTGGAGTTATGGGGATTTAGTCACAGAAGGGTGGAGTCACTTCATAATGCTAATTTTTTCATTTATATCATTTGCAATAGAAAAAGTTAATTCTTTACAGTCCGGATGCACTCACCAGAGTCCCTAACTCCACATCACAAATTTTATCTAATATTCTAAGGTATTGTGACTGGGGATACTCTTTGGGCACAGCCTAAGGGGAGTGTTGATGGGCATCCCCCCCTCAGCAAACATCATCTTCACCTTGGTATGCATGACAATATAGAGCCAAAATTCAGCAGTACTGAATGGACTTTAGCTGTGACCAATGCTTTATGCTATTTTTTCCCTTTATTTGTGGTGTTACCATTCATATCTGCAGATTATTTGTTGTACTGGTGACTAATGATATTTAGTCCCCAACAAGAAAATCATTGTCAAGTTGCCCTAACTTAGTGTGTCCGTACCGTATATATTAATTTAAAAAATAACGAGATTCACACATACATAAATATTCAGAATACCTTTGCATAGATATGAATGATGTACACAAAATTGGTCTGTGTAGAGTCAACTGTAGATGGCTGTTCCCCCTGTAAAACCCCCAATCAGTGACTTAGACGGCAAAGAATTCACTATGTGTGTACAGCAGGAAATAACATCGGGCAGACTCAGTATCTGGCACTCAGAGGCACAATTACTGATTATATCATACACTCTATGGGGGGGGCTTCCTCCTTCTAGCTCCCACCTGAGACTACAAAGAATCTCCCACATATATACTACAGGGTGGTGTAAAAGCAAATCACATGCGTATACGAATGTACCATGAGTATCAGCTTGCTATCCTCTGATAAAGTCACAATATTCTGAATATAATGTGAGGTATTTTAGATCACTGTCGTCCATCTATTATGTTAGTAAGTTATCATTCCTAGGGTGTATCTTGCTGCATGTTGGTCCTGTGTTATATCCTGGTGTGAACATGTGAAAGATTCTTTGTTTTCTAATGCAGGGGTTGGCTTGCAGCAGCTACACCTCCCAACAACATAACTGATTTTGGGTATATTATAATCATTGAGGTGTATCTTGTGTGTATCATTTGTATTTTACCTGCAATTTCCCTAGTGTCTTGCATGCCCTCTCCTGCTGTTGGGGACAAAAATGTGGGTTTCAGGGGATTTTGCAGTGACTGTCCTATATATATATCTATATATCTATATATCTATATATATATATATATATATATATATATATATATATATATATATATATATATATATATATATATATATATATATATATATATATATATATATATACACATAGCACAGAGTGAAAGGAATCCATCAATACACTATCTTAATGATTGGTCATCCAAAGGTATTCTAAACATTAAATCATGCATTTACCAATGTGAATAATTGAAAAACGGAATAAAAACTGTAATGATGGATGGTTGTGTGAAACAAAAAATGGTAATTTTCTATATTACGTCCGCATAAACGATATCGACGATTTTGGTATCGTTGGATTCCTCTCACTCTATACAATGCAAATATGTAGGTTTTATTGCGCAGAAACGACCCGTTAGCCACAAACTTGGCCCCGATAGCGGGGGCGACGATGTCGGAGCGGCAGACGTAATATATAAAATTACCCTAATAATATAACCTCACAGTGAAAATAATCATGGTTATTCACATGACTTTCCATTGTGACCCCCCTGGGGGGGGGCTGCTGCCCCCCAACCCCCACCGAGGAAACAAAATCTCCACCACATATTCACGGCAGGATAGAGCACACGCGAACTAGATGCGGAGCCGATAACCTACAATAACCTAGGATTTTTAAGGTACTAACCTGATTGATTAATGCCGCTAATTAGTAGGGAGGGTGCTCCTTTGCCACAGAATGTGAAGGAGGCAGGGTGCGTCCTGGCTGCCCACACCTGCCGCAGGCTTTCTCCCGATGGAGGAGGCCGTAGCGGAAGCACATCTCTAGCATATTTTCCTGGCTAGTTGCAATTTCGCGCAGAAAATCCGTCTCCGAATACGCGCCAGAATAACCCTCCACACTCGGCCATCGCGGCGACTATGACTGACTTCTGAACGCAACGGTTATTTTGGTTAGGAATACGGACGTCGTTGTTCCAGAGGAAGGGAAACTCGACCTTGAGGCCATCAGTGTAACATCGAAAGAGGCGCAAAACCCGCCGAAGAGGGCGGGCCACCCTGTTCATCCTGATTATTCTACAATCATCTCTATATACAATGTTGGCTATACCAAGGTTAATAAGCTGATTCAGTGGGAAACTTACGAGGTAATTGTAATAATACGCCCGCCGCTCCGACATCGACG